GCACCTTTTTCAGATTTCAGATTACTGCGGCGGCTCGTCGTCGGTCTCGCGTTTCCTCTTAGCACCGAATGCGATCGGATCGATTCCCTCGGTTGACTCGTCTCATGCGGTGTTTCTCGGCGATTCAATGGCTGAACGATCGTTTTGAGTCGCTTCTCCAGCGCAATCTCCTCCTCTATCTCACCGGTCTTTAATGCTCTATGCTTTTTACGTATAGAGTCCTGAGTCTTCGCGATCTCTCGCGCCGTTTTTTCCCGTCGAGCGACGTCCATACTCGCCGTAGCGTCGACCATACTCGCTGCAGCGTCGATGTTCATCCTCGTCGCACAACTGATCGTTCTACACCACGGCGAAATCGTTAAATCCTCATCTGTATTTACCGTTCCTTAACGTGCTGTTTTTATCGATGACTACGAAACTGTACTTGCGTTTCCAACATGCGCGACACAAGGCGCAAAAATCCTCGTACGACATATCCGTGTTCACGTGCTCGTTGTAAACGTGCTTTAGATTAGTGTCATTCTTAAACAGAATCAAGAGATTCGCGTTGTCGCGTATCAGGTGTTTCGGAATTTTAGCGTACGTCTGACAGAGATAGAAACAATTGATGTTCGAGTGTCGACTCATAGTGAAATATTTCCTGATCGCGTTCTGCTTGTCACAGGCCATATCGTCGAACATGAATATTGAATCGGGAAGCGCCTCGCTCGGTAGTACGACGTCGCTATTGTTCGAGAACGCGCGACAGCTGTCTATCGACTTGAGCAACTCCGCCAGGTATCGATACTTCGGTTGTTGCAGAGATTTCGAATAGACATATTCTCAAAACGCACGCCGTGCGTTTTGAGCATGCTTTTGAGCATGCTTATCAACACGTTCGTTTTACCGCAATTGGAGGGCCGCAAATGATGCAACGTATCGTGTTTTGTAGTAGAGGAGACCGTATCTGCGCGTCCTCCCGATCGTGTCACCCGAGATTCGTCGAACCTTACCCGGTCGAGATTGGACACTCCTATAGCCGGCGACCGTCGAATGAATCGCATTCACGCGCGTGCGCTCGCTTCGAGGAGATGCGACCGATAATCGCTCTACTTATACTCGATACCGATTCGATCGCGCACATCGATATGTTTCCCCTATTAGTAGTGATACTAGGCCGGTTCTAACCCAGGAGCTCCGAGCGGGATGCGGGTGTGCGAGGTAACTCGGGGACGCGGGGGTAAAGGAGAGGGGGTAACTGGTAGGCACAGGGAAGGGGGAATGCTTTGTCGATGATCCTTTGGAATGTACTTTTGAAGGGGAAGGGTGGAGGGGGTCTTTTTTGTCTAGGAAGAGCTGCTAAAAAAGATATTTTTTGTAGAAATTGACGTAGGAAAAAAGGAAAAAAAGACGTTATTCCGGCTGCAATAAATATACGTGTCGCAACATGTTCATTTCGAACAATCTCGAAAAATCCGTTATTCAATGAAAATAATATATTAGTCGGTAAATGGACACTTTTCCTTAATTTTTTTCTTGTTTTTTAGTAATAAATATTGAATGTGTTCATTTCTATTTGATCAAGTTCTCACGTAGGAAACAATAAATTTTGATGGCGTGGAAAATGGGAAACTACAAAAAGTGAACTATAGAAAACGAATGAATTCAATAAAAAAAAG